TATAGTTAAGAAATTTGTGAGTTAAAAACAAGAGCTCTATGAAAATCCAACAAACGATGTTTATTAAAAAATATTATATGTCACATCACGTCCATCTACTTCTATTACGCCTGTAGAAATGGCAAAATTAACATAGTATTCCAATTACTGAAAAAATGTGTTTGTCGATCAAATAAATAGACTTAAATGATAGCGCTCAATCGCTTTACAATGTGAAGATACAAAAATCGTCAAGCTATTGTGAAAGAACGGAAATAGTTCGCTCAACTAGACTCAGAAATTCAATGTCTTTCGATGTTTTTCTAATTGTATAATATTCATGAGTCTTGCTGCGACGAAGACAAGAAAGAAAAATGATGCGCTGATATAAGTATATCAATTATCAGACACATAAGCGTTGGTTTGTCAATAAATGATAAAGAAGCCGAAAGAAAAAAAATTGCCATTTTACGCATAAGAACTATAATCGTTCTCGCTAGCATACTTCTTGTCTTCCATTCTGAGATAAGAGCTATGCTGAATCATGACAAACATGTAGAAAACATTTTTGTTGCTCAATCCATAGCAGTACTCATTCGATGTCAGCAAGTATCTACTGTCTACTGTGTACTCGAAATTTATGTCAATTCTATCTTACAAACAACTATGGTCAATTGTAGGATTGTGATCGTACAAAAGTCTATCGATTGGACTGCGAAAAGTTATTCTAAAATCGTGCAAACTGAAAGTAATCTGTTCGTGCTCATTAGAGAGATTACTCCATGTTTTATCAAGGAGTCGGATGATAGCTAACTCAGAGATCGAAACGTTATCGGATGTGAGTGTGAGTGTAGATATAGGTATGTGTTTGTTTTTCAGTCATGTTCACACCTACAGCCGTCGAGACCACGAAGAATATCCACATCCACAGGCATACCACCTCATTACTCTTTGATGACTGCACAAAACTCACGTTAAACGCTACACTAAGTATATAGTTCTTGGGTGTGGGTATGGATGTCGGTGTCGGTGTGTGCTGCTTATTCTTTTCTTCACGCACACACCCACGTCCGCGCTCACCTTTCCACACCCACACCCACGCCCACCCTCAAGGTGCTGTTTTCGCGGATCATCTACTTCAGTAAATGCGCATTCTAAATCCAGAAAAAAATATACGAACCGAAAAAAGAATTCTTTTCTATTTATGTTCGTTTTCGATGGAGCGAATTTAATTGTTTTAATGATTTTTTTCAGCCATACAGTGCCACTACATTATATTCTTCGAGAAAATCTGGTTTTATAATACATACAAAAATATTTCTTCTTTTTTATCACTTCGAGTCCTTTTTCAAGCTCATCACGCCTAACCCCTGCAAATTCTCTTGTTAAGCCCTTATAATTTAATGCCCTTCATAACGCAACTGCCTAGTGCACCAGTTAGTCGATCGTCGGCGCCCCTCTGGGGCGCCACTTGCGCTTAGCTGTTGCAACCTTTGATCTTCTCCCATGAGAGAGTTCTTTTCACTTAAACCATATTAAATGCCAGGTTGCTCTTACTTAGAATATTAGATTGAATACACCGTCGCTTCACATGAGCCGCTCCTAACCAACACTCGCCTATTATTTATTCCTAATTTCTTTAACCCAACGGTTTAGCGAATACGATAGAATTTTATTAGGGTTTCTGATTTGGAGAATCTTAGTTGATTATTCTTGATAAATGCAATTTTTCCCTAGATCTTTTGCTAAACAACATTAGAATGTGTTCGCAATTTTTCGACCAGTAGTTCGGCAGTACTTCTCTGAGGCCTTACTCATAGTCTCTTGTTGTATTATTGGAATACATTAAAACAATCATTAGTTATTCTGCATTTATTCTACAGGCTATAACTTCATTTACAAGATTCTTTTACTGCTGCTATTCTCGACTTTAGCAAAGTGCACACAAAAAAAAGTCATTTAACTCAGAAACAACTATAAATAAACAGAAATCGCTCAGTGTTGCAAACATTAGACTGAATGCCAGTGATGTGTACATAGTATTTCATCATTCTACGTCTTACTCAAACACTCGCCCCATTGGACCACACTATGATGCATGCCTACAACGATACTGTCAAGAGACTACCGAAACTAAACAGCAATTACAGACTCCAAATACGCAGAAGAATTTTCCATGTTTCGTTTCTCTCTTTTCGAATGTCTTTCTTTCACTAAAATTCGTTTCCTTAAACAATAATTCAGAGAGAAAGGTATGATTTTTTATGCAATAAATATGTGAGTTTTTGAACAGCTGACTTCAGATTAGGATTACCCAATCTCGATTTACCTTCGTCAATCTTTATAAAATTGCGTTATTTTATCAAGAAAACCTTCCCTTGACCCTCAAAACTCAATTCAAAATTTTGAGAAACTGACTTCAGATTCGGATTCCCCAACCCTGATTTACTTTCGTAAGCTTTTATGAAAAATTCACTATGGATGGTTTTTTGACCTTGCGACAAGCATACAAACAAACCAACTATTTATTTTCATATGACTCTCCCTTCAGTCGAGGGAATAAGAATAAATTACCTATAATGAACATCAGATTTGGATTCGCCCTACTCAATTCTCTCCGGACAAAATCAATCCACTTTTATTATTGATATTTTTTTGACTCCAAGCAAGCGCGCAAGCAATCAAGAATACAACCTATTTTTTTCATATGACCCTTCCTCCAGTCGAGGGAATAACTATTCGAGTTTTTGAGAAACTGACCTTAGATTCGGATTCTCCGATCTCGATTTACTTTCGCCAATCTTTGTGAAAAACTCAATACTTTCTTAAAAAACCCTTTTCTTGGCCCTAAAAACTCAATTCAAAGTTTCAAAAAATTCACTGCATATTCAGATACCCCGACCTCGATTTACTTTCGTCAACCGTTACAGAGAGAAACTTTAAGTGGATGTTTTTTTTTCACCCTGATGTTTTTTCGACTATGACACAAACAAACACACAAACTCAGTTTTTTTTCATATGAACCTCCCAACAGTCAAGAGAAAAGTACTTTGAACTAAACATTAGTCACTTTTTTTATTATCAAAATGATCAACACAATAAATTCTAGAAATTCTACAAGTTTGAAGAAATTTGAAGATGACCACTATAATAATTGAAGGAACCCGACGATGTTGCCCTTCATTTTTGTCTTTCTATGTGACCCTCGTTGTTTTTGTACTATTTTGCAGCATTAAAAAATTCTATGTAATTATATGAAAATTTGTCTCATCAATCATTGCTTTACTATATAAAAGCTGTTAGCACAATCCCTTGAGGGATTAAAAATGTAAAACACGATGGCTCTACTATTACTGATTGAACGAAAATCTTTTCGTTCAACTATGTTGCGATACATTTGTAGCTAACCGTTTATCTGATGTTTTACAACTACAGCTTCTCTGTCACGGCTTGTGATGTGTAGGAAGATTCTCTGACAGGGTCTGTGATGGATATCTAGATTCTCTGTCATGGTCTGTGATGGTTACTTGGATTCTCTGTCACAGTCTGTGGGGGGTGGGCGGTGCAAAATTTCTACGCTATGTACTTCAACACTCCTTTTAGGTCGTGTTTCACAAAAGCAATTGCTTATAATTATCTGTTACATGTGCTATACTGCTGGTTTAATTAATCTTTGAGAGTATGACAAAATAATTACTCTATATATTTACCGGAGATCATTCTCTACGGTCTTCTGTTGCAGTTTGTTATAGGAATAATCAATATTCCCGAGGGGTCTGCTTTTAGTAAGCTATTGATTTGCCTCCTCAGTATTTAGTAAGAATTGCATATGGCTTGCCTATTGAAACCATTCAAACGATAAGTGCACTTGTTCATTTAACTATAATTATCGTGCAAAGGGTATGTAATAAAAGAATTCAATAGATGTTGTTTTCGATATTTAGGTAGCATAAGTAATAGCTGTTTCTTCGATCGATTCAAACGACTATTCCAATATGATAGAGACAAATGTGAGCTACCATAAATCTAAAAAAATCATAGTTCAGTGGCAATCGTACTTACCTACCGTATTCTGATTTTCGGAGGATTGAATTTCTTCGATCAACAAACGAATTTTCGCTCTATCCATCTGCTAAGTAGAAATTTTTCGTACAATATGAGGAAACTTAGAAAAAAATTTCCTTACTCTTACCATTTTAGCCTCTGTCATGAATTAAACTCTATTCGGCTCTTGGCCAGTACCCAGAGAGTGTGGGTATGGATCAATACAAGATAATCACTCACACCCACACCCTACAAAATAGTGTATGAAACATAGAGAAACAAGAAGCCTAACTTACCTATTACAAAGATAATTAAACGGAAATTAGTTCTGCTTTTGTCCACGATCTAATTGATCCACAAATAGAACTCTATCTTCCGATCACAATGATAATAGTTCGAGGCTTTCTGGAACGGACAACTCGAATCTGTACTCCACTTGCCTCGAAAAACCATTGGTTGAACAGGAACCAATAGAAATCAAGCTATAGGAAAAACGACTTTCTTAGGGTAAATCAAAGCAAAGAGTTCTAATCTGAGCTGTATTCTCCCCAAATCCTATATTTAAGCAGTAACCAATAGAATTCAAGTGTTAACCCTTTACCCCCCACCACTAATCCAGCAAAGCTGATGCTGAGTTGACTACAGAAATAGATCATATTAGTGCTCAATATGACCTTCCTATGGTTAAATTCGAGTGAAGTTGTTTCACTGTCTAGATACAAAATGGGTCACAGATGACCCATTGGTGTTGAATGACATAAAAATTTGACTTTTCACTAATTTGACTTCTTGACTTATTTTCGTAACTGCATGTTTATTTATTCGTATCAAGCTATAAGTCTTTCACTATTATGAATTGTTTACAAGAAAAAAAATGCTTTTCAAAAAAAAATATATAGCAAGTTTATTTCATCCAAATCAAAATTTGCATTAAAAAAATAGCAAAAGTATCGATGTTTGTATGTCAGATATATCTGTTAATTTTTACAATGATAATCTTTAAAACAATTACGTGTTGTACAAAAACATAAATGGACTTGGCATTTGGAACAATATACGTTTGTCTTCATTAAACAACCTTTATTTTTACATCGCAGGCGTAAACTTTGTTGATATTGGGGCCAATGTTCTAAACCATCAAAACGAACCATACTTGAAATATTCGAGACAGTTTCTCTTTTTCTTTTTTGTCGAACAAGATTATTATCATCATCATCTGATTCCGATGATGATTGATTTGTAACTAATACCTTTAACATTCGACGTTCAATGGCTCTTGGTTCCCGTAGCATTATATTTGCTATATCCATCTTAAAGTAAAATAAACGAGAACGTCTCCAGCTTCGTTGATCATCAGGTAACATATGTTTCCATAAAACCCAAGCGTTTATTACCATCAAGTCAAGTATTCTCCATGCAATACGCATGTACCATTTTTTCGACCTGAAATGTATTGGATGCAAAGCACATAACATGTCGACCTTGTCGACGCCACCCATATTCTTGTTATAGGTTTTTACTATTTGTGGTGCATTCACACTTACCTTTTGACGATTTTGTTTGTCCCATCTTGATAATTGTGTAAGTGGTTCAATACCAATCAAATTTGATCCCATTAAAACACGTTTTCTATCCTGCCAGGCAACTATTATAATTTTTTTGTCTTTTGATACCAAATAATCATAATAACCTCGTGGATATTTACTCATAGCTTTTTCTGATTTGATTGGACAATTTTTAATACGATTTGATCTTAATGTACAGGTTAATCCATAACCAAGTGAAGTCATTTCATGTAATAATGATAACGAACCAAAATAATTATCAATAAAAATATGTGAACCTTTTGGTATATCATCTAATAAATCGATAACTACCATTCCTGATTGACCATAACTTTTTATATCTGCAGATTGTTTAGCTAGTTTTTCATTATCTTCATTATTTCGATCTTTTGAACGTGTTTGAAGTTCAGATGAAGCTGTTGTATATGATGATAGTTTCATTTGTGCTACAGGCATATTTGCATTAGCACCTTGGTATAATTTAATACGATACGTGTATGCAGAAACACCAGATAATGACCAAAGTTTAAAACCTCGTTTTGTCGGTTTTTTTGGCATATATTGTTTATAACTTTTTGGTGCCGATTTTCCTTTGTATCCTATCATTTGTTCGTCAATTGATATGTTTTGTTCCTGTTTTACCACCGAACCACATCGGCTATTGAACAAATCAATTAAAGGTTGTATTTTATCACTAGGTTGTTTTTGAAGAACATTATTACCAAAATGTAATGATCTTAAAAGTTGATCTATTCGATTTCTAGTTATATTTTTCATCACTATTTCAGAACCGTATGTCGACGTCCAATAATCTGATTTGCATGGTAATTTGCATAATGATGAATAAAATAAAAAACCAATTAAGTGATACAGATCTAAATTGTTCATGGGTTCTTGTTTGAAATTTTGTTGTGTACAATATAAGTTCGATTGTTGAACAATGTAATCAACAATTTCTGATGTTAAAAATAAGTTAAAAAAATCATATGGTGATGGTGATTTAGGCAAATCAATATCATCCTTTAAAATAAATTTTTCACCAAAGACAGGCAAATCAGGTTCAAATTTTGTTTTTTTTGACCATTGAATATTTTGGTGATTATCTGTTACGACATCCGTATTGATTTCTTCTGAATTAAGATCGACTTGTTCATCATCGCTATCAGTCTTTTCTTCTGAATCGCTTTCCATTTCATAATGCACATCATTGTCATCATTACTTCCTGAGTCATAAGCAGACAAATTACTTCCATCACTGCCACTATCATCATAATTTGTATTTAAACTATATAAAACATTTGAATCCGAAGAGCTTGTTGTATTACTATTTTGAGACATTATTGAAAAAGAAGGTGAACCAATACAATTCAATATGATAGAAAGAATCGCACGGTAAATAAATAACAACAGAACGAAGTAGTAGGTGAGATATGTATGGTAAATAACTATGAACGACACGAATGAATAAATGTGCTCTTTATTGAAGAGACAAACTGTATTTATGCAAGAAATAAAGTGAGACAAGAGGTCAAAAAGAGAAGTCGAGAATATTCTATTCTTTGTTTAGTCGTATACTGAGAATCATCTCAGATGGACGAAAAGAGAGAGAAATTCTCTTTTCTTATTCAATGTTGCAGTGTCACAAAATTTTATGCTTTTTCAATTAAAATAGAGGAAAAGGTCAAACAGATAAATGTCCAAGAAACAGAACAGAAAAGAAAAGAAAAATAAGTATAGATGAAAGAGTTAGGGACGACAAATGGTGAATTAAAACATATAAAGACATATCAACAGAATGGCAATCGTGAATATCATTACTTGTGTATGATTATTGGGAAAGAACTCTCCCTTAATCATATGTAACAATATATAAATCTTATCAAGGCATATCAATTATTAGTCATAACAAGTGTTTTTAGGATGAGCATATGGTTAATAATGAGTTTATGTAAAAAAACAAAGTATCTGTAAAAGAAGACATTTTTCATGTCATTCAACACCAATGGGTCATATATGACCCAAGTTGTTCCAAAGCATGGTCTTCCAACGCATTATTTCAATAGTTTGTGAAAAGGTTCTGGGTAGATGGTTGATGCCTTAGGTAACATATATCAACCGTTCAAAAAAATAAGTGACCAATGTGTTCTGATAAAAAGACAAAAAAAGAAAAAAAATTGGATTTTTCGATTTTTTTGAAAAATCATGATTTTCCAACTCAAATATTCTACCAATAGACAATAAAAAAAAGTTTAATTTTTTAGCACTTTATAGCACACTAAGTGCTGTACACAATGTTAAAGAACAATCTTGATTCGATGCTTTATCAGTCCAAATAGATAGGTTTTCTAAATGGGTCACGGGTGACCCATTGGGGGGTAAAGGGTTAAGTTTTTTCGATGTTTCACTTTTGCTTGGCATAAAAGTGATTTTTATGATACTGCACCACATTCGCAAGAAATAGAAAAACTGCTGTTTGTTGAAAGGTAGATTCGATCTAGGTGTTGCACTCAATTATGGAAAATAACGTTGGTTGACCTCGCACTTGGCCAAACAGTTAACAGGAAAGTTTTCGCTCGATTTTTACAACNTGCACTCTTCTATTCGCTACTTGTCTTAATTGGCGAGGGGGGAGGGGGGAAAAGCCGCGAAAACTTGAACTTAAAACTTACACTCACTATTTTCTTCGAAAATATATGTGAGTTCCACAAAAGGTATTGCGAAGTCTTTGTTTGCTTGTAATTCTCTTGTAAAGTAGACCTTTTGTGACAATACAAATACTTCTCGATTTATATATTTACATATGTTTTTTCTTAATGGTACACTCTCAATGTTGTTGAAATATGACACGAACAATTTAAAACTATGTTCAAGAATAGAGGAATTTTTCGAGGTATGCATGTCTTCTGTTCCATATTCACTGGATACAACAAATCAAGTGAATTTGCGTCATATGATTGGATTGTTACCAATGGAAAAAAAATAATCTTGACTTGACGAATCGAAATATTGAAATTTATATAATACTCATTTTATATCATAGATCAGACTGTTGCAGCGATTTATTTCGATTTTTGATCAATAATACAAACTGAGCCCTATTTAGAGATTATCTTAACATAGTTCTATGTATTATACTTCCAGTTCCATCATCACCTACAGTCGAAAATAATATGAATTTTGACGTGATGACATTACTTGGCTGTATGGCATAACAAGATTTTCGTTCGGATAGTGCTACAGCAATACGAATGAAGCTCTATGATTTGCAATAGAATATTACCGATTGTAACTGGGTGTGGGTGGAACCGGTTTTTTTTCTTAAAAATGTTTTTACTATAATTCCCGTGAAATCAAAATGTCAAATATGATTAACTAGTATTTTGTCCACGGAAATCTTTTCAAAATCTCTCTCTCATACCGATACAGTATTTTTTATTACAATCTATGCAAGAAGCATAAGGGACAAGGGTAATGGGGAAAAACAAATTTTCTATTACGAGTTTTGTTTGAACCTTTCAACTTTAAATCCAAAACTAGAGAACAATCTGGTATTTATGTTGTCCCTTAATGAACCTGTCTCTCGGGCAGGATATGCAACTTTTAAGTTCTATATTTGAACTCTCATTAACAATCGTACTTTCCCAAAACTTTTACAAAATGTAGCTTTTTCTTCAAGTCACGATGTATCAATCCATACAAAACAGCTGAAGTAGATTATCGTGTTTCTATGGTGTAGCGGCTACACATGCTCCTGTAAAATAAATAAGAATTTTTTCCTTCAATAGAAAGAGAGTGAATAGAGGGCAATGTTATTTGCAGATATTGCTGAGCACTTTGGACTTTGAATCCAGCAACCCAAGTTCAAAACTGGGTAGAACCTCTCTTTTTTCCTTTCATGTCGTTTGCTATTCGATACATAACCGATTTCTTTCTTTTTTCCCCAAGAATTTCTGATGCAACTAATGCGATTTTGTCTACACAGTCATTGATTTGTACAAACAATTGTTGGTTCCTTTGTTAGCTTGTCGTATCATTCATCTGTTGGGTGGGTGTGTGGATGGCGGTGTAGGTGGACGTGGATGCCCATAGAGGCATGGTCATCACACCCGCACCCCAGACTCACACCCCTTTTTGACTCTGTCTATTCAATGATGATGGCAGTTCATTTAATATTGATTTATGTTTTCTTTATTACGATAACAAATCATGTCTAAAACCAAAAGGAATACTGAAGTTTGGAACAATTCTACTGATGAAAAAACGCTCCGTGCATTGAAGACTAATACTGACGAAAGACTATCTGCCAGTACTTAGATTTCTACGTGAATACAAAAAGGATTCTAATATATTCTTCTCGATTATCTTCAAATTCTTCCACATCCGATACTAAATATAATTCAAATAAAAAAAACAAAATCTTTCTGAAAAGAAAATTTTAATTCGAATCTCAAAGAAATAAATTTAGTAAAATAAATTGTTCACGTATAATTTTTTGAAGTATCATTACCTTCAAACATACTGCAATGATGATTTCGAGCAGCTAAGTTTGATAAAAATGACATTGCTGTACTGAACAACTTAACACACACGAAAAAATATCATATAATAATCAATTAAAATTAACATTTTTGCTTCATCAAAACATGGTGAAAGATCTAATCGTGTTAACAAAGACGAAATTATAGTGCAAATGGTTTACAATCATCAGTATAATTATTTACATAAAGAATAGTAGCACGACAAATTTTGGCTTTAACTTGATCTAATATTTCAGGATCATTATTCTAAATAAAAACAAACGATTATTACAAAACTAGAATTAAACCACAAACAAAAACTTACATTTGAATGAAGTGTTGGATGATCATAAGAAAGAAGTATTAAAAAATGTGTCATATAAATTGTTATATTATCTTCAAAATGTTCAGGTAATGTCTAAAATAAGAAAAAAGCAAAATTTTGTAGTGAATATACTTGAGCATTAAGATGATAAAAGGTTCTTACAATAATGTATAAAGAATGAAGAATATTTTTTTATTTCAATTGGATTCGATTCTTTTTGTGGATAATATACCATCAATGATAAAAGAATGAAAGAATAATATTAAAAAAAATGTGCAATTTTTATTTTACTGTAAATAATTCAGAAAAAGCAGAAGCAGATTTTTTTCGAGAAGTAATTTAATTTTCGACCATAATTCATTTGATGCTTATTCATACCTGTATTGTTGAAAAAGAGAATATGCTGTTGTCAAAAGTCCATTGATTGATTGAAATGAATTTGATGCTAATTGTTGAAATTGTTTTACCATGATATCCAGTAATTTTAACTATGGATCAGAAAAATCACATTTTCCAATAACTCTTATTGCATCAAAGAATTGTTATTGAATATGCTCGGATGATCATGTCATTAAACGAATGATATGTTCTGCTATATGATTTTGATCACAAATTGATATAGAATTTGATTCATCAAGTGATGGCCAATTACAGTTTATAAAATTTCTAAATATTATTACAGATACACGACGAATTTTATTGAACGTTCATACAGTGTTAGTAAAGGAGAAGAATAATTTTTATTATATTATCGGATGTGTCAAAATGTTTGCAACATGCTGTATTTTGCATATATCTCAGCATGGATAAATGATAAAAACCTAAATTTTTTTTAAAAAAATGCGCCATGAAAAGCTCTAAAAAAGTTGTAAGAGCAAATTCCTACTGCAAAATAGAAATGATCTTCCAAAGGTTTTTATTATTTTAAATACGGTGAAAAGTAACACTAATATGTATGTATTTCTTTTTGACTAAACGAAAAAACTATCAAAACATGTTAGTAGGGATTTATTCCGGTATTTTTTTGTAGAATTTATCACGAAGCATCTTTTAAAAACAGCCACGCTTTTTATCATTTATTCATGAGACTTATACAAAATACAGCGTGTTGCAAACATTTTGGTATACTCACTATTTTGACGAGAAATAAATAATTGCACATCAATGAAAAAATTAAATTCTTGCATGAAGCAGTATGTATATTACAAAATAGTAGTAAAATTTTGCAAGTCAACGCAGTATTGGTTTACTATTGAGTTTCATAAATAGGACCTTTCTGCATTAACATGCACAAGTTGAAGATGGTCTGGTCGTCTTGTGGGTAGCCGCAGCTGATACTTTGACA